TAAAACTACGCAATTCTTTAAAAAGGATAGACATGTAATGCTAAAAAAGATATCTCTCAGAATCAATTGCCTCCGTCCCCCGCCCCTCCCCCGTCCCTGGTCTGTCTGTCTGTCTGTCTGTCTGTCTGTCTGTCTGTCTGTCTGTCTGTCTGTCTCTGTCTCTGTCTCTGTCTGTCTGTCTGTCTGTCTGTCTGTCTGTCTACTCTCTCTCTCTCTCTCTCTCTCTATCTATCTATCTATCTATCTATCTATCTATCTATCTATCTCTCTCTCTCTCTGATGACGTAACTAAGGACATGTACAGCAAAGTGCATGTTTTCACCTGTCATCCTATTCTCTTCTTGTATTTGATACCAGAGTACACTCAGTTAATATGTGTTAGTGGAGTAGGAGCTCAAAGGAAAAACATTCCGGTACATTTGCCAAACGCTTAGGTCGGGCTGTTGTTTTTAAGTGTGTGTGTGGGGGGGGGGGATGTTTAGTTTTGTTGTTTTTTTAAATTCTGCCCTAAGCTGAAATAATGGGAAACTGGGATGTAATTCCTTTATCGTTACTGTAACAGAGTCTAGAGTCTAGAGGTATTTATTTATAAACTTTAGTAATCCAATAACAATCCTGCAAGTAGGCCTACAGCCTACTGATTATGAAGATTTTTTAAATTATTACTGGAGTGCCATTTTTCACTCTGGTACTTATGTTCGTTGTTTTTTTTTCTTCTGCTCTAAATCAACCCATAATTATGCTACTGAATGGGAAGATAGAGGTCATAGACCTAGGTAAATAATATACTGTCCCGTCCACAGAGAGCAAATTGGTATGGAATGTTCAGGCACGGTGGGCCTACACAAAGAAATAGGCCGCCTGCTTACAAAGGTTAATCAAATTATGTACTTACCTATAGATAAGAAAATTTTACAAGCGCATTTAAAATGTTGGCTGTGCTCATTGATTTTCTGAGGAAACTCCTAGCACTGAATCTAAATCTGTCAAGTGTCAAGGCAAGGACATGAAGTTTTATAATGTAAGTACAGGTATTGATGTATAGTATTGTATAGCAACAACGTGTAAAAGTAGCATAATTTATCAATTAATTTACAAAGATGTTACATGTATTAACAATATTATGCTGTTGAATATAGAGAGTAAGTAATTTATATTAATTATTTTAGAGTCGTGTTCAACAATACAATATAGCCTATACGTAGTTAAGAAAACATGACCAAACAATTATTTACCACTATCCTTTGAAGTTTTAGTGTTATACTTCCTAAGCTCCTTGGGTAACGCAATGTTAAGATTAAGAGTAAGAGCAAGAACTGGGAAACGCAGGTTCATGTTCCAGCCCTGCTGAATTCCTCGCTCGTGGAAGGGACCGGTCCGCCACGTGAAACATCATACTATCTAGAATCTAGAATCTAGATCTAGACATCTGAATTTAAAAAATTTAATTTTTTTTTGTAAATGGCAAATTACTCTCAGTATTAGTACCGGTACCGGGTTGGCTATTTCAATTTTCGGTGTATTTTAAAAACTTTTGTACATTGGTTTATATTTTCTTAATGAAACTGGTTTTTTCCTAAATGGGGAAAATTTGTTACAGTAACTTTCTAAAATCACTAAAAATTTCATGATCTCTTGTTCTTTTATTTTTATTATCAAAAAAAAAATATTCTCACCTCTACATTCCAACACGAACTTGCCCCCATTGCCCACAGTTAGTACCGACACACTAATTGCTCCGTAACACTATTTTTTCAGCTTATCGGTCATACTGTCTATTTTGAGACTGTGTTACTTTGGAAGTCACTGGGCTGTTGTTGATTTTGTTTTGTTTAGGGGTTGTTGTTTTTGTTGTTTGTTTGTTGTTGTTTTTTTGTTTTTTGTTGTGTTTTTTGTTGTTGTTGTTTTTTTGTTGTGTTTTTTTTTTT